TTGTCCTGTATTAAAAAGGGGATGTATTGCAGGGACAAGTCTATAATTTTGCCACTTTATAGATCATTGGTTCGACCTCATCTGGAGTACGCGGTCCAGTTCTGGTCACCAGTACTAAGAAAAGATGTCCTTGAGTTGGAAAAAGTCCAGCGAAGGGCAACCAAACTAATTAGGGGTATGGAGGACCAGAGCTACGAGACGAGGCTACTAAATTTAAACATGTTCACATTAGAGGTGAGGAGATTAAGGGGGGATATGATTTCCATGTACAAAATGTTTAATGGTGGTAGCAACATTAGCGATAAACTGTTTAAAATTAACTCCGTTACAAAAACTAGAGGCCATCACCTAAAATTGGTGGAAAAAAAATTCCAGCACAAGGGGCGAAGGGGGTTCTTCACAGTAAGATCAGTTAGGGTCTGGAACTCACTGCCACAGGCGGTGATTTCAGCAAATAATGTGGAATTGTTCAAGAAACTTTTGGACGATTTCTTAAGGGACCATAATATACGGGGGTACAGGTACTCCTAGAATGAGATCCTAATAGGTTGGACTTGATGGACTAATGTCTTTATTCAACCTCAAATACTATGTAACTATGTAACTATGTAACTCTTCATTAATCTCCATTATCTTTAAACACTTTATTTCCTAGATAAACTGAAACTTGATCGTGATTTCAGCAAATACAGCTATCTCAGCCTGGATTCTGCTAAAGTAAATGGTATAGATGATGCATCAAACTTCAAAACTGTCAAGGTAAGAGAACAGATGGTGTTTGTTGAGTCTTACATTCATTGGTATCAGATTTAACGCTCGTGTTTGGCAAAACACTGGACGCATTGCACACAATTACTATATATTGGAAAATATAGAGGTGAGGTTAGTGTGGCTTGATGTGTTCTCCAGGTTCTGCTTGTCTCCATTAGGGAAATAAAGTGAATTTTTAAAAGCATAAAAACATCAACAATTAACTTCCTTTATTTTGACCAAATGCTGTTTTTGTTCAATATAGAAAAAGTTGTTAGACTGTGTAAAATTGGGTTCCTAATAAAATTCACAAAATTAGCAGTTCTACAACTAGCCAAGTTTTATGGGAATACTACTTCTACTTGTGGTATTGACAGACTCTAAGAAATATGTATCACCCGTTATGATATCCTTATTTCTGCAAAGAGCTCTCTTTCAGGAGGTGCCTTTCTGCCATTTTCTGAGAAGTCGCTAGTTTCCTGTTTATTATGCTCATTCTATAGCTGTATTGTCAAGTTGGGTGGTGAGAAAGTTCTTAACCCTGTGTCCCCAGCTGCCGCACGTACCCCCTCCCATGTCTGTTCCTACAGTGAGCGCTGGAGAAACACAGAGAGGGGAGTGACTGACAGTCACTGCTCTCTCTAGAGAGAAGGAACCAAGAGCTAAGCAGTCAGAGGTTACCTGCTTACTCAGCTCTTGATCGTAGAGCCGGTGTGTGACATCTGCAGTGTCCAATGCTGGCTCTAAACAGCAGGGAGACTATATTTTACTGTCCCTGCATTTCTTCTTTAATGTCTTAAACAGGAAGGGTTGGGGCAAATTAAGATTAGGGGGATGCCCAAGTTTAGTCTTGCATAGGTCAGCACAAAACTAAAATACACCACTGGGTAGAGCCAGACATGGGATTTTATAATTTTATCAAGGGTATATTTTAATTAATAAAGTAGGTTTTTGGGATGTATTAGTTTGTATGCTTAGTATTTTTTGTTTTTTTTGTTTCACACTTATGATTGATGCTTTTGTTGGTTTATTCCATTGAAGTCTTAAATAGTGTTCCTGAGAGGTGTACAGTAGTTGTGTTCGTTTGTATCACTTTAGACTCTGGATGCAAATTGTGGGGGTGTTTGCAGGCCCTATAGTGTTTGTAAAAATTAGGTTTAGAGGCTAAGTTTTGGTAAAATTTAGGGTTTAGATGAGGTTAAAGGCAAAGGCTTACTTCCCATTCCCCAAACCCCCCCACCGTAAACACCCCTTTTCCCACTTGCTTCTCCCTGCCCCGATGTGTGGTATTTTAAATTTAGCGCAGCTATGCCTGGCTCTGCCTGCACAGGGATCCGTAAATGAAAGACTACAAGTCCCATCAGCCACCGCGGCAGAGGGAGTTGTAGATTTCAATAGAACGCAAGTCCAGTGATGTCAACACGCCTGTAGTCCATTGTTTGCCCCCTCCAGCCCCATAATGGACCTAAGGTTTAGGATGTAGATGTATAGTGCAGGAATTTGGGCATTATACCTGCAATGCACTGATTGCGGTTGCAATGTTTTACAGGTCTGAATGCAAAAAAATAATAATTGCACTTTTTTTACTTTTATACATGTGTATTTGTTCATGTTTTTCAAAATGCCTTAAAGTTTAGCTGTAATGTTGAGGTTCAGTGATAGTGTTTACACTAATAAATAAATGACTTATTTTGTTCAAGATTTTCAACTGTTAAATCCTTTTTGTATATAATAATGTGTGCCAAAATGTCTGTGTTATTGTGAATTCGAAAATGTGGGCGTTGACAATTTATAATCACATGGTAGATACATTTTGGTGATGAGAAGTTTGTTGCTGATAAAAGTAATAATTTTTCATTTGTGTTTATTAAAATGACTATTAATACAGGTTATATTTCTGTTTCTTCTTCTAGAATGCTATGCAGATTGTAGGTTTTATGGACCATGAAACACAGTCAGTCTTGGAGATTGTGGCTGCAGTATTAAAACTGGGGAATATTGAGTTTAAGCCAGAATCTCGTGTCAATGGCATGGATGAAAGCAAGATTAAGGATAAAAATGGTGAGAACACAGAATGAGCTTTGTTATACTTAGATCATTTAATGATTTAAGTATAAAAATTTGACCTTTAAACAAGCAGACATTATTGTAGATTCAAGTTATAAATTACAGGCAATACTTCCTGGAGAAAAAAAACTAATGGCAATATTTCTTCAAACAAGATCATTATTTGACTGCTTGCTTAATTTTTCAGTCTTCGAAGCATGCTGTATTTGCCTTTATTTGGTAGCTGAAAAGACATAGGATGTGGTCGTCAGCTATTCATTTTCCAGATGATCGCAACATAACCACAGAAATAGGGCTGGCCACAGGAAAGAATGTTCTGTAATGTTGAGGCCTGAATATGTGGAAAGGCAACAGGCCTCAACTAGATTGGGAAAAGCCACATTACAAGGTGAATATAGTCAGAGAATAGTAATTGGACTGGCATTTTAAGAATGACATAGGGTAAAGATAAACTCCAGGCAGAAGTAAAACCTACACTCCAATGCATCTTTATATCCGAAAAAGTTATTTTTTGTTATAATGCAGACAGTGTACGTACTTGATTTGGACTTGATATTAGCTTCTTGTAATCCCGATACAGCAGAGCTCCATAAGAGGGAGGGACAAGACTGGGAGCCAAAAAGGTGTGCTGAAAAGGAAGATATGCTAACATGAGGATAGGGTAAAATGAGCAGAGAGATGACCTCATCAGTGTGGTCCTGCATGTTTACTGTCCAAATTTACAAGACAGTTGTGGGTAGCCAGGCCCATGGCCCCCCAGGTGTAATCTCTCCCCCTAAAATATATTGATTACAAAACAACAGGAAAAATACCCGGGTTTCTGAGCGATATGACACCATGGCTTGAAGTTTTGAAAATAGATTTTTATTTAAATATCACATATAATGCAAAAATACATACAAATTTGAATAAAAGAAAGGGAGCAACGACAGTTGCAACCAGTTAAAAACAAAATTAAGCCAGAGGCATAGACCCATTAAACATGTTCAGACATAACCAAAATAAATCAATATAATCTATAAGTCCATTCCCTACGCGTTTCGCAACTTGGCTTCTTCAGGGGATTATGACCTACCCTAACAAAAAAATAATAATGATGCATTCAATTAACGTGAATCCACAAAGTTGTTAGATTTATTTTCGAGTATATAAAGTGCACAGGATATATAAAGACATGTGTCTGGGTTTTTATATATACCCAACGGAGAGAGTTTCACCACCGTATGTCAAATTTACTCACCACCCAAATGGAGTGACTTACTGAGGGGTCTAGCTTTCTTATGGAGCCTAGGTGGAAAGATAGTCCTCCAAAAGGGAAATGCTCCGTCCAGTTCTTTGTATCCAAAGGAGGGGAGAGAAGGAGGACATCGGGCCGCTATAAGAGTTTATTCACCTAGTTTAGTAAAGGTGACTAAAGGTGTCGGGATTTGTTGTCTATCTTAATATAGTGAACATTAGGATGATAATTGTCATCAGTGACCGTAATGAATGTGTTATGTTTTACTTATCCTAAACTCTTATTATATATACAGTGTGATATGTGTGTGTGGACATAGTTGACTCAAAATGCATTGTGTATTCATTATACTCTGCATAAAGCGAAATACTAAGGGTTGTGGTGAGGGTCTGATCGATTGTGGCAGCCTTAGTGACTCCTATCCATCTGAAGCCAGGCATCTCCAGCTTCAATGTCTGCTCTCTAGTAGTTCCCTCCCCCCTAATAAAGCCCCCACCGCTGATGGAACGCCCCACACCTGTGTGTGTTGGGACGTCCATCAGCTGTGTGGATTCCTAAATTCCTAAATTTGTTTTTTTCTGTGCCGTTATACCTCAGATGAAAGATCATTGATTAATGAATACTTTGTTTGGCTGAACATAGCATATATAAATGTAAATAGCATTTCCCATGAATAAAAATTGATCATATTTGTTTTTCTAACTCAGTTTTAAAGGAAACATCAAACATGCAACTGGGATACATTGTTTAACAGAACAAAACATCTATAAGCATGAAACATAATGGGTCGTCCTGACAGATAGTAAATCATAATGGAACAGTAAATGAATTATAATCATTTTTCTTCATCAGTTTTCTTGAGAAAGAATCCAACATAGGGCATATATACGTCCTTCTTATTCTATTATACCGTATGCTACTGGTCAATCTTAGTCTATGTCACACTTTTGCTCCTTTATTGAGCTAATGTTTAATGGGTCTATGCCTCTGGCTTAATTTTGTTTTTAACTGGTTGCAACTGCCGTTGCTCCCTTTCTTTTATTCAAATTTGTATGTATTTTTGCATTATATGTGATATTTAAATAAAAATCTATTTTCAAAACTTCAAGCCATGGTGTCATATCGCTCAGAAACCCCGGTATTTTTCTTGTTGTTTTGTAATCAATTTTTACTGTCCAGTCAACAGACTGGGGTTGGAGAGATAACAACAGCACTGCATTCCTTCTACAGCTACAGTAGAACTGTAGCAGAGAAGGTAGTGTTATCCGCGGGCTATTTAATATGATAGAGCTGTGTAAATCTCAGAACTGGATGGACACATACACAAATACTCGGGGGTGGAAAAGCAGCTCACTTATAAATATTTGATATGCGTATTTAGCTGTTTGGCAGGAGCTCAGCTTAAATTCAGCTAAAGATTTAGTTATCCATATTTCAACATAAAGAATTCTGAGGTGGACAAAGTTACAGAGCCATTCTAAAATCGAACAAAAACAACTCTAGCAACATGGACCACTCAGTATAAGGGGTCTGACAGACCCATGGGATCTCCTTCTATGTTCACAGTCAGGACCGGAATATTTCCATTATTTGTATTACTAAAGTCAACAAAATAAAACCAGAAAATAGTGCCTCCCTTCAGGCTTCAACACACATTCCCCTAATCCTGTCATGTTTTTGCACAATCTGTTTTAATATGTTAAAACCCTCCTCATCCTTTGGTAGGATGATATACATGGACTTATCGCTGTAAAATCATTATCTATTTCATTTTGTCTAGGATAGAGTGTTACTAGGTTATAACGTCTGTTATTGATTTACTGTTGGGGGACAGAAACCGCAAGGGAAACCTAACAGATTTAACCCCTATCCACATGACAGTGCTTACCTGCAAAGGTAGAACATAGGTAAGCAAACAGAAAAGGGTAACCACTTTCAGAGGAGCCAAACACCAGAATCCCAGCGCTCCCATTCTATCTTCGGTCATACACCAACCAAGCACATTGGGTGCAGACCAAAGGTGCGTTTTCACCTCCCAGACGAATCCTCAAATATCAGTCACACTTAGCTGGTGTACATATAAAATCAAGTTTTATTGTAGTTACTCCAACAGAAACCCATGAGTATACACCTCCAAACCTCCAAATACACTCCCCCATACCTTCCCTAACGTGTTCCACAACATGGGCCTAATCATAGAGGCTTAATCACTTTCAGAGGAGGCTTAGGCAATAGTTTTGTTAAACGGCTACAACAGTGCTGTTGTAGAGCACCTGTAATTTTAGCAAACTATTTTTGGCAAATCATTGGTAATTGTGGTTTAAGAAATCATTTTTGTGTAGTATAGGTGCCCTTTAATTGTTCTCCACATTTGGTGCCAGATAGCATTATTAAAACCTTTATATATACATATTCGACCCCTTGTCTCAAATCTATCCTGATATAAGCACCCACCAGCCTTAGTCAATAAATTTCTTATCCTTAAAAAAAAGGGGCCATTGCTGACCTCACCTTCTGGCAATGCTTTTTGGCTAGCTGTCATGCTGACCCTCAGGGCAAAGTATGACCCCCACCCCCTCTAACCCATCCTGCAGGGATTTTGTCTGCTTACTTTGTGAAGCAAGTTATTCTTGCCTAACTATCCTCGCTCCAGGTAATCCAATACTGCAGATGGCCCTACACAAGCCAACCCCTTGCCATCCCCATGCTTTGACGCCACTTCTCTTCTGTATCCTGAGAGGACTCCTCCATTGGACATCCAGTAGATAGTGCTCATGTCCCGCAGGCAGTGATGTGGACTTCTGAAGGACCCTGCAAGAAGTAAAGGAAGAGGGAAGACTTGGCACCTGAGCATCATGTGACCACGGTTTAGATAAGTTAAAGGGGCATGGGAGTGTTGGAGGTATTATCTTGGAGATGGGCTCTAATATTTTCTCTTACTGTTCTGGAAGAAATTAACAAATACTTGAAAATAATGTATATATTGAATGCAATTTCTAATGTTTTTTCATTCATATTTTTTCACGTCTAGAGTTGAAGGAAATCTGTGAGTTGATTGGTATTGATCAGAGTGTGTTGGAACGAGCCTTCAGTTTCCGCACGGTTGAAGCCAAACAAGAAAAGGTTTCCACAACACTCAATGTTTCTCAGGTTAGTGAATAAATTGATGCATTTGCAGTTCGTGAGAGGCAACTAAAAAATATTCTTGTTTTTTGTGATGATCCAACCGGATTCAACTTAGTGGTCAAGGTCATTGTGTAATTGTTTGCACCTAATTGTAGCATTCTTTCACTAGAACTCACATCTACAAATGTGCCATAGGGGAAACATGTTTTTCTAAGAAGATTAAAACTCCTTTTTATTTTCCTTTTTGGTGTCTTTTTCTCAGTTACATTATTTTTGCAAGGAGGTGATTTCTTTATATGATAGGCTAACCTAAAAAACACAGACACAACTATGCATTTAATTGTATATTTAATCTCACAACAGTAAATTTGAAAAACTGTATAGGTATTCATTTCCTAAGGATACCAGCCTAGAACAACAGGAACATAGGATATCATCTGCAGGGTTGGAGAATTTTGGGCATGTGGGCCTCTTACCATGCTATTATCAACAAATGATAGGCACAGCTTTTATTAAAGATGAATTGCTGTCTTCTCCTTTAGGAAATGGGTGATATGAATAGTTACCAGTTCAACATGGTATATAAAAATAAACATAGTAGTTGAACACATTTACATCTTGTTAGGTATAAAGTTGAAACTCTTGACATGCCTTACAAAATTATTTTCATAGTCTCTTATAGAGTGGGTCATTCTTTAGAGGTGTGTGCGCAGTGTAGGAATATTTAGTATTTTGCTCTTATAGTGTATTCATCTTCATAAGGAATAATCTCATAAGCTATTACCTTTGAGGGGAAAGAGCTGCTACTTACAGAGTAGCTGTTGTTCTGGACACACAGAATAATGATGGAGCCCTAGAGTCCAGTTCCCATACTGTCAATCTAAATAGTTTTGTTATTAAGTAGGAACCGCTGCGGTTACATTGCATTCAGTTTAACCATAGTGGTTCCTGTTGACCGAATAAACGAATCAATCCAAGTGCACTAACCGGACCATGTGAGTTTCCCATGATGCAATGATCTACTACTACTATATGAAATAACTAATTCAGGAGCAGCTTAGCTATTTTAGTTATTTATTTCTGTTGCTTTTGTCTGTGCTTTCTGCACTGTTATAAACTGGCAAGAGTTACCCTCTGCATGCCTGTACACACATAGTACACATAGCTACAACCCTTCCTATGACAAATTTTTTAGTCCCGTGGGGCCGCTACTATATACGGTACCAGTGTTAATGTCTGCATATGTCACAAGCGGCAACTGTCAGCAATTCAAATTAATGATCGGGTGACAGCTGCTGCATGTAAACGTCTGCACACCGCATGTAATCATATGTGATGCTTTCACTTTCTCTCTCAGGTCCGCTCCTTTGCTCATTGGGCAGGGTTTTATTAACCAGCCTGCTATTGGCTATTGAAACCCCTGTATGTTATTTTCATACCTCCTCACAACTTTGATCTGCTTTTACTTAGTTTGTCATATGAAAGCTATCTGCACCAAAATAAAAATTTTTTTATAGTATGTCATTACTGTATGGTGTTTTAAAACTGGTTTAAAAAAGCCTGTTAGGGTCTTTCCCCTTTGCATATTTATGATTTAATGCTCATTTAGCTTAGGGGTTTGCACTTTACCTTATTCTTCAATCCGGTGGCAGCTGGTGTCCTTCCTTGCTGCTGTTCCAGCCTTAGAATGTGTCTTCAACATTGTCATGTATAAAGCATGATCAGCTGTGGCCACTGGTCCTACATTGTAGGTGATGATGTTGGCGAGGGAGTAGCCACCCAACCTAAGAAGTGGAGAAGTGGCTTTAAAGCACTTGTCCACACCATTGGGAAGGAAGCATTTGGGATCGATGAATAAGGTAAGTAATCATCTCTATTACATGCTTCCCAGACTAAATGAGCAATAGATCCTTAATTTATGGGAGGCTAAATCTTTTTAAAACTGCCTGAAGTTCAGCTTTAAGGTTTAGGTTTACAAACCTGTTTATAAACAAAATGCCTTCCTCTTTTACATTTGTTGGCTGTATCCCAAATACGCGCGGCAAATATGCCCCAAAGAAGTTCCTGTACTTCTTTGGGCGTAGGGCGTTTTGCAGCGCGTTCCTACGCCCAGGTGGGAACCATGCCCATAGGCAATCATTGGTTTTCACATGTTGAGCGTTTTACAGAGCGTAGGAACGCGCTGTAAAACGCCCAGGTGTGAACCGGCCTTAGGCACAATAATATGCATGGTTATACTTACGTAACACATTTGTTTTAGATACTTCTGCCTGCTTTTCTGGCCATCCTCTGAGCCTAATGCCCACTTAAAGCAAGCAAGATATCTAGCTATCCTATGAGGGTGATTACTGTAATTTAGTGTGCCTGCTCACAATAGTTGTATAATGCAGTAAATGTCTGTTTGCTTCTCTTAATGAAGTAAAGATATACGGAATGGTAGGCATGGTACTGTAAACTCCTTCATGATTTATGTTCTTTGCCATTCAGGCCTACTACGCCCGTGATGCACTGGCTAAAAACATGTATAGCAGACTGTTTTCATGGCTTGTCAACAGAATAAATGAGAGTATTAAGGTAAGGCATTCATTTTTTAATAGTTACATTATAGTATAAATTAGCACACATTTTGAGTCATGATATAAGTAATATTGCTGAGGCATATTTGCTCTTTCATATTCTCATGAATATACTTCATATACGGGTTTGTAGTTTTTTGGCTGTGTGCTTCACAAGGTTATTTAACAATTACACAACAACTATTCAGAAAACCAGATAAGCTGCTTAGAAAGTCAGTTCTTTAAAGCCAGTTTGAGCAGAATGATAGATGTCCACTGAAAGCACAATCACTGGGCTGCACTAATATGTAGCAAGCAATACCCATATATGTGACTAAAAAACAATTAAAAACTAAACAAAGTTTTTGCAACATTAATACACATTGCTATTTACATAAAGCTGAGCATAGCCATACATATTTCATTTCAAAGGAGAATTCCATGAAAATAAAAATCTTAAGAAATAAAGGAGATAAATGTTAAACTGTGAGTTACATGTCCCTCTATGGCTGCCATCAAGAGGTCTACTATTATAAACTCCCCACAGACATGCTATTGCTACTTTGTGTGCTTTAAAACACCTCAACCATGTCTCTGTGCCATATGCCTTTTGTTTAAGCTACACCCCTTTTTGAATTATATTTGCAACAATCACTGCTAGAATGTGCTATGGGATCTGCTTTACATTCAGAACTACATTCCAACTGTACAGACCATAGGACAGTGGAGCAGAAAGTTAGTTACACATCTTGTGAATAGCAAAGACTCTTCTGACTCCGCCTCAACATCCTCCTACATTTCCCCCATGCCCTTATGATTTTTAAGTCAGCCACAATTGTCCAAAGGGAGACATAAGAGGAAAACAACATAGGATCACAGTCTGTAATGTGTAAATGTGAGCCTTGGTGCTGCTCCTTCTAATTCAGCTACAAGTACTTTATGATAATAGAGTTCTGGACAAATCTTTTTTGTAGGAGGATGAAATGGTTAAATTGTGCCTTAATGTTGCATCATAAAAAACTTGAAATTTAAAATTGCATCCGGTATCACCAGCATAACAGCTGTTATTGCTGGTTCCAGAAATATTATGCGTACATGAAGTCTTGAGTTGTGATATATGCAAAATAAGGAAATGACTGAGTACAGCTGTTGCTTAAATATTTGTATTTGCCATCCCACGTACCTTTTTGTTTGGGAAACGCATTGCGCAATGCAAACATAGTTCCTAATTTAACAAATGTTTGTTGTGCACATATTGTACTGTTTTTATAGTTTCAAATGTCAAACATTTTACAACCTGACATGGTTCCAAAAATAAACGGCTAAGGATGAACATTGGTACTTATTATACATAGAGGTGGATGAATCTATCCATCAAGTGTAAGAATCAACCCAAATCGGGTTGGCTTTTGTTTTAAAGTGTAAAAAGGTATAGTGGTTCAGAACACCAAGCAACATGTTAAGATCTCAATGCACCTCTCTGCTTTATTGATGGTATTTTGGGCTGATGGTCAGTGGCTTATTCTACGCCACTGGTAACATAAGGGTAAGTTGTCTCCTCCCTGCGAACTTGTAAAGTTCAGTTCACCTTAAAATTCACCACAGTGCATTCAAGTTATAGATATCAATCATTATGAGAAACACAAATTACCCACACCCTCAATCTGCACTATTTAACATTAATGGTTAAAAATAATGATAAGGGTTTTCCACCCCATTTCCTTTATCCTGTTTTTTTTTTAAAAATAAATTTTTATTGTGTTTTAAAGTGATAAGAAAAGCAACTTAATAAAGCGAAACAAAGCGAACAACAACAAAATTACATGTCATTTGAGGTACAGACTCTTTGTCAGTTGACATAGTTAGATGTACAAAAACTCAAGGGAATAATAGATATGGCTTCAAAAATGAAGAAGATTACAGTTTAAAAGTATTTTGGGTACACATACTATAGTATAGTATAGTATAGTATATATGCAAAATTAAAAAACTCACTTTGAAGACACCAAAGAGGAGAGCGTTTGAGAAGAAGCCATCCATGTGCCCTATATCTTATCAAAGAGTTGTGCAAGCTTTTTTTCTCCATATGGAAAATAAGTGCCCTCCTACATCTGTACTGTGTAGTATAGAAAGAATAACACATGGGTATCTGTGCTTCCAACTCTACGGTCACTGAATCTAATAGAGATTTATTAGAGAGTAATAGTAGCTGGACTGAGTCAATTTAATGTGCCCAGTTTCCACACTGTTATAGGTATTTTGTTCACTTATTCAACAGCAATTATTTTAGTGCATCTCCAATGAAGTGGATTGGGTACATTTCCAGAAGAGCAGATTTTGATCTCTGTACCTAAATATAAATGTATCTAAAAGGTTGAATTTCAATGTACTTGTGTACTTTTATACCACTTTATTTTGTAGGCACAGAATAAAGTCAGAAAGAAGGTTATGGGAGTTCTGGATATTTATGGCTTTGAAATATTTGAGGTATGCTTTTTTGTGTCTATAAAATATCTTTATTGTGGTATCGGTGATTTCCAATACTTGTTCAAAATGTGGTTTTAAATCATATATAGAATGAGAAGGAGATGTGAAGTAGTAATTCAGATTTAAAGGGATAACACGCTTCATTCACAAAGCATAGCACAAGGATACAAATGTTCATCTTCAACTGTGTGACTGTTATTTTCTCATTGGACTTAGCTAAACACAACTGTCACTTTTTGGAAAATAATAATCCTTATCCTGGTGGTGTAATTAAAAACGGATGTGCTGAACACAGGGAAGGGAATTTATCAAAACTGGAACAGACAAAATCTGGAGCAGCTTTGCATGGCAACCAATCATCTTCTCTCTTTCATTTTCAAATCTTAACTGAACAAATTGTAGAGAGAAGCTGATTGGTTACCATACACAGCTGCTCAGATTTTGTCTGCTCCAGTTTTGATAAATTCCCTCCAGGGTGTTGGGTAATGTACCACTTCCAATCTTTGACAAAGTGTGAAAGTTTTTAATAAGTAACATCAAAGAAAGCGACAAAGCAGAAGGATTCTTTAGACCCAAACAGGACGTTTTATAGAAACATTAATTCTGAATTCCAAGCAGAAAAAAAAAAATGTACATACTAAAATGTATTTTAAAATGCAACCAGAATACATAAGTAACTGAATTTTACTAGAAAGTGAATCCCTGTAATTCCCTGTATGGCAGCCTTCAAACTGCTGAAGAGATGAACAACAGTCCACCTCACAGTCAGGTGTGCTGCATTCACATGTTCTGAAAAAAAAGAAGGTTGAAGAGAATAGAGAGGTTGCCTCATCGGTATACTTCTCATTTATGGTCCACAGGCTGATGACAGGGAGACAGCCTAATACTTTAAAATTACAGTAGTGTAATATTCAGGTCACCAGTTTGGCAGAGCAAATCTGAGGTAAAACTGGATAAAATGCAAATCTTTCGTCAGGTAAATCAACTTCTAGAAATGTATGTCCACTCTGTATTTTCTGGCTTGCTTGGAGTTTTGAGCTTTAAAGGAGTACTATGAGGTGAGTGCTTTTCACTCACCTCAGTTCTAGCCGACCTGTGACAATGAGACTGTCACAGGTCGGCTCAGTAGATTGGGAGGTGAGCGAACACATGCCGGTGTTCGCTCACTTCTCGATCCTGTTACGGCTCTCTGCCGTGACAGGGGAGGGGATGGATTCCCCCCTCCCCACTCCAATCCGTCAGCGCTGACTGGCGGAACGGACGGGGGAGGGGGCGGGTACAGCTGGCTCTGCCTCTAGATAGGCAGAGCCAGCTGTCACTCACGCAGCTGGGCGGATCTCGACATCGATGTCTATGTATACCGCGAGCTGTAGCGCGCGGTATACTGAGCTTAGGGTGACGGGAGGATGCTAGTTTGTGTCCTCCTGTTACCCTAAGGAGAACTATGGGGAAAAGCCCTGACCCCATAGTTCTCCTTTAAGTCAGACATGTGATGAAGTGTTTAAGAGGTAGTTGTAAAAAGCTTAAAGTGAAGAAAGGTAGTCTTGTGAAGCATCTCTGGTAACAGTAACAATGAAATGGTTGAGAGATTCTGCAAAGGTTTTTTTTTTCTGTAGAATTTTCATTCTGCTATTTATACTGTGAGAAAAACAAACGGGTTTCCACAAACTGATTTTAATAGTGTGGGTGCAGAGAATTGAGTATATTGCTTGTAGATTATGAAAATGTAACTTTTATATACATGTCCGGGTACCACTTACTGTATCTTTCCCCAGTAACAACTGTAAAAAGCTTGAGTTTGACAGTGATTCAGATTCTACCTAAGGCAGCCTTTCTAGAGGAAGCTTCATGACCCTTACTATGTAAACTGAGCCAACACAAAGCAGAGACATGAATTTGGGTAATAAAGGACGTCTGTCACTGCAGAACAGTGCATAAGGGCTGTGGGTTCTTTAATTAGGCCCTGGCTCCTGGCTGGCATTCTGTTTGATCTAGCTGTGTGTGCATACTTGGTGAAATGAATGTGTGTAGGGTGAAGTGGAGGCAGCAAGCTTATGTCAGCAGAAAACATTCTTTAGTTGTGCTGAGCAAGTGAGATGAGTGAGATGAGCGCAGATTTGATGTAATACCAGGGTCTCATCCTGATTCCACTGGAAGTTAATGTGGCACAAAACTAAAGCGTTTCTTTCTTTCTGGAGAATACAAGACTTGTTACAGTCATAGCTACTGTATTGATTCATCCCACGTGTTGGTTATGTAATGGGGATTGTCTAGAAGTTTAAAAATGCATTATAATTGAATTTACAAATGCAAAATTTAATTGTTACTCAGTTTAAGACAGAGTAACTCTAGAGGAAGTGAGATTTCCAGTTTTGTTTCCCCCAGTATATGTATTTATATATATAAATATCTCATATTTAGGTTTTTATTTTATGCATTTTGTCAAATCATAATAGCATAATTTTAATAGCTTTTATTGATGTCTAATTGTTGCAGTAAGAATGAGTAGTGTACTTTTGAATGACTTTCTGTTTAAATTTTTCAGGAGAACAGTTTTGAACAGTTTATCATCAACTACTGCAATGAGAAGTTGCAACAAATCTTTATTGAACTGACTTTGAAGGAAGAACAGGAAGAATACGTGCGAGAGGTAACCTAGCACAGTACTGTAGCTTTAAGCAATTACATGTGTAAGTAAAGGACACTGTAAAACAGCAGAAAATCACAAGTAAGTAATAAGAGTAATAAGAGTAATAACATCACCAAATCTCACTGCAGATCTCAGACCAGCTGTCTGAGACAGGAGTGCCTCTGATGCACACTGCAGTTATAAGGCTATGGGGTTGAAGGCATATGAGTGCCTGGGCACACAAGAAGAAGTTCTGGTTTTCAGGAAGAATTCAAAACTAAAGGTATATTTTCAGGGTACAGGTTAGGCACAATTAACATTCCAGATGTCACTTGGATCACAGCAAAACTTCTCTTTTACAGTTCAGGTCCACTTTAAACAGGTAAATTCTGTCTGGGAGACTAAAAGCTTAAAAAAAACAAAAAAGAAAAACCAAACGATTTTATTTCCAAGATATTATACAGCATTTGCAGATTTATTCTCATCAGTTCCTGTTATCCAAAGGAATGTTATACTCGAATGTCCTTGCCAAACTCATATACAGTATACACTAGGGGCAATTTGGGAGGATGCCAGTATTTTGTTGTTTTTGTTTTTGTTGGGGGGGGTTTGACTGTGGGAGAGAGACTAAAGGAAACCCCACAAACACAGACAGCATATACAAACTCCTTACAGGTAGTATCCCTGATAGAATTCAAAGCAAGATTGCTAACCACTAAATCACTAATCAACTAATAATTATTATTCCTTTGTTATTGCAATATATAGATATAAACAACACCAACATAATTAAATAGATGCGATTCATAAAAATGTTCAACTCTAATAGTATATAGAAAAGTGTATGTTAGCTTGAACAGTGAACTTTACTAATTTGCTCCCTTTAGGTCTGTTACATATACTCTTGAAATTTTTTTATGTGCAAAAAATACCTACTGACTACTACCAGAAATCTTGTGAGCTGATAACTTCCTGTGCTGTCTGCTTGTGCTGCACTCTTGCTAGTTGTATTGTTCCAAGGATTACAGGATCTCCCCCATCTATGTTATGGACAAAAGTACAGGGGGAGTTTAAAGCATTCCTGTCCTATTTCTTTTGGCCTGATACAGCAGCTTCAGTGAGGGTTGTCATACTAGGACAGTAAGTGTAGTACTGGCAGACTCATCTGGTGAAAATAAAGTCTAACAAAAGTACTAGCCACCACATCTAAAGTGAGATGCAATATATAACATTTTAGTTTTTAAGGTTAGATACTCTTCAAGGTGGCATTTTTTTCATTTACACTGTGCATTTTTATTGAGCCTTTGCAGTCTGTTAAAGTAGCAAGAGGGCATCATAGACCATTTGTTTCAGGTGGCACTGGCGCATCACTGGTGCTAAAATCTGAGGATAAGACACAGTTAAGCTTGGCACCGTATAGGTTGAGCATTCTGCCAGCTTCCTGCATTCATTGACTTCAGCACACCACCACACCCTGATCGAACGCACCAGAACGCGACGCAAAACAATGCTTGCGTTCTGGTCCTGTGCGATCTAAAAAAATGCTGCATGTACTATTTTTTCAGATCACACTGGACCGGAACGCAGGCACTGATGTGCCACGTGTTCTAGTGTGGGCGGTCACACTGCGGGCCACGCTCCCTTCCACCCTCAACTCAGGAAGCTGGCTGGAACGCGCCGGAGCTAGTGTAAACTGGCCCTGCTTCAGGCAAGCAGAGCTAAATGTACTGCAGGGAAGCCGTTCTGTACAAGTCATCTTGGGCGGCTGTAAAGATGTACTAATGTACAAAAATACACATATTCAAGTTTACAATGTACAGCAAGGCTATCTAATTTTACTTTTTCCCTATTTCAATGCAGGGTTGTTGATGTCTTTGGGGATGTGAAAGAATTTTGTTCAACCTACATTTAGGCTGCTTTGTGTACCCCATTATGACTTGCAGAATTCAGCTAAATAATGACACGGTGGAAAGAGGCATTATTAGGTTACAGGGAAATGGTGCTTTGTTGTAGTGCTACTATTGTTATATATATATATACAGTGGGGCAAAAAAGTATTTAGTCAGCCACCAATTGTGCAAGTTCTCCCACTTAAAAAGATGATAGAGGCCTGTAATTGGCATCATATGTAGACCTCAACTATGAGAGACAAAATGAGAAAACAAATCCAGACAAATCACATTGGCTGATTTGGAACAAATTTATTTGCAAATTATGGTGGAAAATAAGTATTTGGTCAATATCAAAAGGTCATCTCAATACTTTGTTATATATCCTTTGTTGGCAATGACAGAGGTCAAACCTGTCCTGTACGTCTTCACAAGGTTGGCAC